CCTCATTCAACTGATATACTTCGACTCCTGTATCCATTAATATTAATAACTGAGAGTTTTTCCTGAAGTCAAAATGGTCCTAGCCTCTACAACCACGACAGCAAATATAGCCCTAAAAACTCCACTTGTTATGCTGGGACAACGTATACTGATGAAACAGGTGGACTATACGTTGCCTTACAGGTTTTCAATTACACAGTAACTGTATCTTTTATTTCAGCGAGACTGGGCGCTAATGCAATCCTTGGCGTTTCCTTGGCCGTCTTGAAGGCTGGAGCTGCAGAAAAGGTAAGCTGAAATGTTACCAGAGGGACACAAATAAACCAATAAATATGCTTGATTTATAAATCGGTGCAACAGTCAGCATAATGAGAATATAAATAAGCAGACGACGAGAGAATGAATATGTGTACAGAAATCCAGGATTATGATGGGCGCAGTTTGAGCTGCAGTCTATTAATTTCAATCTCCTTACACGTCAGACATCGGGCTAGAGCTGGCAATATGGAACTTCGATATGCCTATATATGGCAAGATGTATGCCCGAAGCCATGGGGTGGAAAGTCTTCGTAGTAATTATTCAAGGGTGAAGGGAATGGACAACATAATCCGAAATTCGATCAGGAAATTGCTTGAACATTGTGAAATGTCTTTGTAGTATGATGTTGACCATTATCTCACAAGTCACCGTATAACCCCCAGGGTTACTGACAATTTGTTAGGCGGCTCGGATGCTTCGGTCATTTTCTCATTGTGCCTGCTCGAGGAATTTGGCTGCCGTCAACAATATCTTGAGCGTCAACTTCAAGAACACGCTGCTCACCCCTCGTAGGAAAGGGCACTAAACTAAGTGACAAAAGCACCTGTCGCTAGAGCGACTGTCGACAACGGAAGTTTCCCCCAAGTCAGAAGTCAGATGAGACTGGTAAGGTTGGACAGTGTGTACTGTAAAAAAGGAGCTTAGAAAGGGCTCCGTAGAAAAGAGCTACTCCCAGTTCTCTGGCCAGTCACTGCTTGTGTTTGCTCTTCGTCTGTGCGCGTGGTGTACAGGATCCCGAGACATATTCTCGAGCCAATTAGGCAAAGGTGCACTCTGATTAGCTTCTTCAGTTCTCTGGTAAGACTGACCCTACCATTAAGCGAGAAGCAGACAGTCACCTGCAGCATTCACAGCGGATCGAAAAAGAGCACGTGACACTGAAAATCTTGCTACATAGCTGTTGGCTGAGGCCATCCAGGTTGCTTCTCAAGAGTTAAAAAAGATAAAAGAAATCGAAAAAGAGCAAATAGGAGTCACCAGTATAGTCCTATCCATTTTTCATACTTTTTTGCTTAATTTGACAGCTCGAAATGCCAGCTCTCTTTTAAATAACCCAATGGTGGCTTAAGTCATCATTGCTGTTCAGGGAACAGATTCGTAGCCGTGCTGAATTAACCGTCCTTATTGATATTCGCTTCCCGGAGGGAGGGCAGTTAAAGATGAAATTTGGACAAGAAATCCTGATATGGCCTTTTCTGTCAGAAATGCCACCTTCCCTGGAACTATCCAAATGGAATCGATGGCCTGTCCATCATACTGCGACTTCCTATCTGTAGAAAGTGCTTTACTACTGTCGTCAGCACATAGTCACCCCTGCATCTC